TTACAAACCAACTCCATAGTGAGAAATGCATTTTGAGGCCACACTAGTCACAAATGCTGCTTGCTTTTCTTTGAAATCAAACTGAAATCACATTTACTAATCCCTTTTTGTATGGATCGTTAATAGATTTTTTAAAAACTTTATTATTAAAAGAAGAAAAAAATGTCATTGGGGAAATTTCAGAAATGCTCCTTTTTGTCTCAGCTAGCTGGAGGGGTTGCGTCCATGTGTGAGTTTGACTGACAGGAACTGGCAGGCTACCAGAGTGCCGGTGTTACACTGTAGAGAACCAGAAACAAAGTCAACAAATTTGCAAAGCCTACATGTCATGGGCAGTCAGCTTGTTTCTAGTGGAACTGAAGGAGCAGACCAACATCTTATAGGGGGACGTAACAGTCATTGCAGGGGGAAAATAAATTGAATGAATATGATATATGTAGGGGGGGAAAAGACATGAGTTGATACTATCATACTGACCTAATTAAAATCCAACTTGGATCCTTTTTATTGAGTGTCTCATTGTTAATAATTGATAAATATTGTAGGGTGAAAACATTTAGCAGTTTTCCAGGTTTGTTTATATGCTGTTTATTGCACTATTATCAGTTTCTGGTTAATGTTTGTTTAGCAGCTTTTGTGTCCACATAAATGTCAGGTAAATTCACAGACTCACTTTATAGAGAGATATCATTTTGTTTGGTTTTCAGCTGATTGTAATTTACAAATATAGTCCTGTGAGCACAAACATTTTGATAATAAAATACAATACACATTATTGATACAATAAATAAATAACAAAATAACAATCAACAGCTGTGTACTCAATTTTGGTTGTTGGTCGGTTTTCATTTGGACTGCAGATTATGTAGCTGGTGATTTTAAAAACTTAAAAAATGAAAGTAAACATTGTGAAAGAATTGTGTTTTTTAATATGCATCTCATGTCTCAAGACCATGTAAATATTGCAAACAACCTCAACAACAAATGGATGGATTAAGTTGACATGTTATGGCACTACCTGCAACATGGTGTACAGTATACAGGTAACATCTGACAGACATGAACTGTATGTTTGAGCCAGTGAACTTTTGGTAACATAAACTGACATTACAGAGCAGCACCAAGTTCAGTCCAAAATATAGTCAAATCTGTTTGTGCTAATTAAACAAGGGAGGTGATAGACTTCACTTAGAATAAACAACCTTTTTTTATATATTTTACCCCTAACAGAGTCTCAAGGACTCAGTTCTGCTTTCTTCCCATCTCTTGCCCTCATTACGCTGTTTTTCTTTACCTCCCTCAGTTTGCACTCACCCAGTCCTTATGTCTCTCCTTTTCTCTCCTCTGTTCAGCTGATGTTTGGACGCTTTGGTCAGGTTGTGGAGAAGAAGAAGTCAATTACTCTTCAGGACATCAGTGCTGTGAGGACAATTATTTTATTTCTTTGTTTCTTATGCACACTTTATCTATCTTTTCTGTCTTCACATTGAACTGATTGTTCTGCCTCTCTTCCTATCAGGAGGAGCGTAGGCAGCTGTCCAGTATGTTGGGCTGTGAGATCTCCTCCATGCTTTGTGTCCCAGTGGACAGCAGGGCCACCGGTCAGGTGGTGGCGCTAGCGTGCGCCTTCAACAAGCAGGGTGGGCAGAGGTACGTATGTGTTCGTACTCTAAGCAATCATTAACCTTTTTTCCTTTTTGGTTGTGTGTAGAGTTCTTACGGGCGAAAACAGACATTTTCCATATAGCTTAACTTAACTTAGCCACTGACGACATACTGCAGAAGTATTTTTTAAAATACTGGGATGTCAGTCCGAAGATGATTTGGCTTTGCCTAATTCCTGAAGCGCTGACTCATGTTAGATACAAATATTTATCTGACAGCGGCTTACAGTAATGTTGGGATGGGTAGTCTGATTGGTTGAGCTCAACAGCTCAGATTTGTAGAGTTTAGGGAGAGTTGAAAGTGCGCTGCTAAAAACCAGCAGTATGTGCGGCATGATCCCTTGTGAATGGATACCATCAGTTTGGAGCCTGTGTCAAATCACCCAGTCTGTGTGTGTGTGTGTGTGACCATACAGATGGCTGTGTGATGATGTAGAGTCAGGTCATGAGTCTAACATGGGGTGGCTTGGCTGCCTGGTTTGGCACCATGTCTTGGCATGTATTTGTGTGTTTGTGTGATGCTGCCAGGAGCAATGCTTCTATCACCTACAAAAGTCTATAAAAACACTCTCCAGCTGTGTCTGTGTGTTTGACAAAGAAACACTTTCTGAAGTGTGAGGAAAGTTATTGTGTAATATTGTAGTATGCTGAGATTGATTTTTTATGTGTTTTTATCTATCTATCTATCTATCCATCTATATATCTATCTCATACACTATGTTTCTACTTAACACTTAACACTATGTTTCTACTTAAGTGCTGGGAGATTAGTGTATTTTATCTCTTTTTTCCTTAAACACACTTCACACACACACATACACACACCTCACAAGCACACTCACACACTTCACACACACGCTTGTGCTCACATACAATCCTCTCTCTTTCTCTGAAGACTAAGATAGATGAGAAGGGATCATGTCCTATAATTTCTCCCTCTGCCAGTGGCACTGATGACAGAGCTGGCATCTCATTACCATAGTAACAGCAGCAGGATTATGGTCGCAACTGTGCATAAAATGTGATAAATCTATCCGTTGCTCCAAGCTCAGTCATCCAGATTTTAGTACAGACATATATCTCAAAGATGCATCTCCTCGTCTTATAGATTGCATATTCATATGCAGAGTTTGTTGGAACTTTCCTCTGCCTGGCTCTCCTAAAAGTGTAATTCAGCCTCTTACCGTAGCACACAGGTGCATGAAAACATATTGTTGGACCAGTAACAGGTCCATAACTCAGTTTTGGTGCCACTAGATAAGAAAACTGCACACAAACATCATTTAATCTTGTTTACGCACAGAGCAGGTTGAGAATGCACAGTATGGCATTGCTAGAAGAATAGGTAGAAATATATTGGAGACCATAACCCTAACCCATGATAACATTTTAGGAGCTTGAGGATATTTGAGGCCAACACAGGATGAGGCTTTATATTTGATAGTGAAGTTAGCAGCGATGTTAGGATGGCCGTATTAATTGGCTGTTGGATTCATTTCTGAGAAAAACAACCCAACAGTGTCACACAAAACCAAATAGCATACACACATTAATTTAAGTCATTCTACATAAATACCAGTTTCCTTGTGGAAAATGTATTCTTTCTTACTGTGTGTATCCAACGTCTGGTCTTTGGAAGTGGACTCCTGCTGGTTTTCATTCTTTCTAAGGAAATTGAGACTATTTTCTATCGTGACTGCAAATAACTAGCTGGTGCCACAGAAAATTATCCCCCAGCCTGACTTACAAGACTGAAGACTATTGCTCCGTGTGACTCTCCTGAATGTCAGCCATAAAGGATTTGTTTATCTTGTGGGAGAGTGAACTTAACTGCCCTTAAACTGAGTTTCCCAGGCCTTTTCAAATCCTGCCTCCTTTGCTAGGATTCCTGGAAGTCTAAGCTCTGGGTAAGAAAAACCACTGAGCTACAAACTGCGTCTAAAATCAACACAATAATGTGCCACTGCCCTCTGTAGGCAGAGGGCAATAACTGCAGGCACTTACGTCACTGTGGTCACTGCAGATCATTTCCTTCATTAGTCTTCTTTTGCCTGCTTAATGCTGGCAGGTTCTCATGTCATTTAGTTTAAAAGGAGAGTGACAGAGTCATTTAGACATATTATAATAGTCAATAATTATGCATTTTAGCTTCTGTTTAGGGCTGCAACTAAGGATCATTGTCAATTAATCTACAGAATATTTTACAGAATAATTAATTAATTGTTTTTATCTTTAAAATGCATTGGGAAAAAGTACTGAGATCTTTACTTAAGTAAAAGTACATAAGTATTTGCAGCAAAATGTATGGATTATGCAAAATTGCTCCATTCAGAGTGTTGTATAATGGTATTATATAATATTTGTATTCATTAATGTGTATTTGATCTATAACAGTGTGTAACAATGTATAAAATGAAAACATGTTTTACTTAACTATAGCAACAGAAGATCACACAACATATAAATAATGTGAATATCTGACGTTTGGTAATAAGAGTGCCACAGCTGCCTGTTAGCTCTGTCTAAATTCAGACTTTGTGTTTGTGTGTGTGTATATGTGTGTGTGTGTTGTGTGTGTGTTGTTGTGTGTGTTGGGTGTGTGTGTTCCCCACTGCAGACACACAGAGGCAGATGAGTATGCAATCCAGCACTGTTTCTGCTACACTTCAACGGTCCTCACTTCAACTTTGGCCTTCCAGAAAGAACAGAAACTCAAAGTGGAGTGCCAGGTACTGCACATGCCCACACACACCCTCATACACACACTTTCACACATAAGTGTATGCATGCATAAATATACATGAAGTTGCCCTTTAAAAAGCTTTTGTGTGCACTATTTCTCTCCATAGGCACTCTTACAAGTGGCCAAGAATCTCTTCACACACTTGGGTAAGTTATTCCCCTCTCTGTCTCTGTGAAGAAAGAACGTTGTAGGACAATTAGTTTTAATGGCCGATATTTAAGTGATCATCAAGTGAAACGAATGCTGCACGTAATTGAATGAGATATTACCGACCCTAAAGGTGATTACACCCAGGATCATAACCATAAAATCAAAAGGGCATTAAAAATGATGGCTCCACCTCTCTATCCTTTAATTACACCGAGGCATTTAGATTCTTATCTAACATTAAGCACCTACAGTAGAAGCATTGATGATTCATCATGATTGCGGGTACAAAAAATGGATCCACTGATAGAGCAAATTGCCTCTCACTGTACCGAACCGTTGATTAGAAAAGCTCTTATAACCTCGTGCAGCTGATCCACCGGTGCTCATGTGTAACCTGTGGTTCTGCCTATCTGAGCTTTGCTGTATTTCTTTAATTTCCCCTGTTTTCCTTTTATTTCCTCTCTCACCCTCTCTCTCTCTCTAATTCTTTCAGATGATGTGTCAGTGCTGTTACAGGAAATTATAGTGGAGGCCAGGAACCTCAGTGATGCAGAGATGTAAGCCTTCTGATTCATCTTCAAAGGGGTGTTTCTGTGTGTGTGTGTGTGTGTGCAAGAGAGAGAGTGCCTGTGTGCGTGTGTGGTGTGAATGTCTTTATCTCCATTTGAAAAGGCTATCGTGGCAATTTGCTCTTAACTGACTTGCCGCATTTAATTAAAGTTTAAAAATGACCTGAGATGAAATGAGATAAAACACTCTCATTTTCTCTGCTTGGCTCTGTTCTCCATTACCCCTGTAACTCTGTCTCGCTCCCTGTGTTTCTCCAGTTGTTCAGTGTTCCTGCTCGATCGAGTCAGTCATGAGTTGGTGGCAAAGGTGTTTGACGGGGGCGTGGTTAGTGACGAAGAGGTACAACTCATATTTCATCTAATATGCTGATTATTTTACACAATATTATGGTTTTTTTTGTGTCTTTCATTTTACCTTTTTTGGAGGGACATTTCATGCCTTTATTATAGAGTTTACAGTAGAAACAGACAAGAGAACATGCGAGAGAGAGAAATAGGGATTGACATGCAATAAGAGTCCCCATCGAGACTACAACGTGCCTGAAACCCCTAGGGGATCGTGGTTGCATGCCATTTGTTATGCTCTCGCCCTCATTTTCTGTCTGACTGTCAACAACCAATTAAAAGTAAAAATGTTAAAAAATAATGTCTTTTGATGAAATAAGCATTTGTGTGTTGTGTGTGTGTGTGTGTGTGTGTGTGTGTGTATTTGCATGGCACGAGTGCAGAAGGAGTTTCGTATTCCAGCAGATCAGGGTATTGCAGGTCACGTGGCGACCACTGGTCAGATCCTGAACATTAAGGACGCCTATTCCCATCCTCTCTTCTACCGCGGTGTGGACGACAGTACCGGCTTCAGGACCCGTAACATCCTCTGTTTCCCCATCAAAGACGAGAACAACGGTAGCAACAGTGACTTTAAAATGAAATAAAATACCTTCACTCAACACACACATACAATGTCTGTTTTAAATACGTTATAAATCTAACTGCACCTTTCGTGTAGGTTAGTGCAATTCAAAGTGCTTTGCAGGTGAATGACAAGCTGATAATAAGACAGAGAAAATATAAGACAAATTGGAGACTGTTCCAGCAGCTCAGAGCATAAAAAGTTAAGTTTCTGCTGTTTTAAGACATTTGTTATCTGTAAAGAGAGGATCCCAGTTGCCCTAGTAGAGCCCAATAATGCATTAATAATGCAATAGCAGGGCTACTGATAATGTATTAATGGCCAATATTGACTTTTTCTGTAAAATAAGCTTTATTGGTAGTTGTTCCTCTTTTGTCCTCTACAGTACAAACCTGCTCTTCCCTTTTTCCTTTAAAAACGAAGCTACACATGTGCTCACTCAGAATAGCACAAAGAGTTGTTACATCACATTCCTAAATGTTAAAGTGCATAAAGTGCACTTTAGAGGGGCAACTATCTTCAGTGTGTGCCATACTGATGGTGCTCCCGACTTCTTGCAGACAAACTTTCGATTCTGTGTGATTTGTGTCTATATAGAAAACTGTCTGAAGCTCAGAATACGAGTTTCAATTCAGATCTTTTTATGTGCAATTAGGTTCAGCTCCAGTGTGAAATTAATTGAAGTTAGCAGACCTATTTAATTCAACGTTCTGCACCTCTGACTGTTGCATTGTGTGCCTCATTTTCTCGTCCTTCACTCACTTTTACTCTCCATTTTTCTTCATCATCAACTTTCTCTCCCTCCATCCATCTCTGTGTCCCTCTCTCCTTTCTCAACTCATTGCCTCCCTCAATCTCACCTTCTTATTCCGTTCCTCTCTCCACCTTTACTTTTGTCCTCTTCACCCTTTTTTTAAAATCCTCCTTCTTCTAGAGGTGATCGGGGTGGCTGAGTTGGTGAATAAAATGAACGGGCCGTGGTTCAACCGCTTCGACGAGGACCTTGCCACAGCTTTCTCCATCTACTGCGGTATCAGCATTGCCCACGTAAGTCTTTTCTCCCACTGAAAGAACTGACTCTCTATGACCCTTTAAAATTCCTGTTTTTTCAATGTTGAACAGCCGCAGATCTCTGGTCAGGGATGATAATGTATGTCATCTCGGCAAGTATAATACACCTTTAAGATAATTTATTAAATCTGACTGCATAGAGAGGCACAGAAGAAAGTTTAGAAAAGAAGCTTCTTAAAACAGTGTGTTAGATCTGTTGTTAGTGCTGTTAGAGAGATCGATCTCGGCTGGCAAAATGGATCAGTTCAGTGGGAGCAAAATGCTCAGTCAAGGAACAGTCAAGGGAAATCTCGAGGGAAATTTAAAGAGATTCAATTTGTGATGGAGCTGAGTGGCGTTAATGGTGCAGTTCATAGGCATTGTGCGACTGCTGCAAAGCTATTGAAAGATCGTTAGGGTTTTAACAGGTTTTTCAGTATGTGATGATCAAATGTAATATTTCTCATTATTGCGGCCCCCTTTCACCTTTCACCAGAATATCGTTGTTGATTAACATTGATTTGCTGTGTGTAATTGGCCTGTTTTCTACAGCCTCTAACAATGCCCTCAGGCAGTCACACAACTGATCTGAGTAATTTAAAGGATTTAAAAATGAATTGAATAATAATAAATAATTAAATAATAATACATGTTTAGACTTAGAGTACAGTTGTGGTAATATTTTATTCAGATTCACCTTCATATTAAGAAGCTCATGTAGCGTCTGACCTTTGAATGACTGCAGATACTTGATAGTTTATCCACAAACTATAAAGATATTTGATTGGAAAAATAATTGCCTTCTGGGCACCTCATTAATCATTTAAACATGACCAAATGCATTATTTATCCATGCTCACTCTGCATCACAGTGTACAGTATGCTGTGGGTTGTAAAAAGGATTTCCCTCATGTACTGCAATGTAAGCAGCATTCAGTCACTTATATTGTTTAGTACACTAGACACGAAGCTGTGTCTAGTGTACCCAAGTAGATTAACATGAAGGACTAAAATGGGTTCAGCCACGACTGGTGCTGGGCCTCTTTCCAATTTTCTGGAAATATTTTTTACAAAACTTTGCTTTAAAATGAAGCTCTTTTGGATGCCAAAGATCAAATGCAATTTCAGTCTATGCAATTATCTTTGCAAGTGTTGTCAAAATAAAAAGAAAAGAAGAGAGTTCTTGGCTGTGCTACTACTGGTGCTGTAACTGAGCTGTACATCTTATTGTAGCCATGTATCTGTGACAATAATAATTAAAACTATTGATTTTGTTATAGTGTTTCTGTTATGTCTTTGTTTCTCTAGTCTCTGCTCTACAAGAAAGTCCATGAAGCTCAGTTCAGATCCCACCTAGCCAATGAAATGATGATGTACCATATGAAGGTAAAATCATATTTGCTCATCTCACTCACCCTGGCACACAGACACACTGTGTTTACTGACACTGTCAATATTATTTACTCCTTATGATTCAGTATGTGTATGTTCCAGGTTTCAGAGGAAGAGGTGTCTAAGCTGCTGGTGACGGGGATTGAACCCGTGATGGAGATCCACCCCTGCTACGCTGAGTTCACATACACACCTCGCTCCCTGCCCGATGACACCACACCCTTGGTAAGGACCAGAGGTTAAGAGAAAACAGTGAGAAAGAGAGACAGCAGAGATTAGAGACACAGAGCGGAAGAGGCAGAGACAAAAGTGATGTAACTGATCCTGTTGTGTGTGTCTGCAGTGCATCCTCAGCATGTTTGAAGACATGGGTTTCATCAACACATACAAGATTGACCTGCACACTCTCGCCAGGTCTGACAACTCCATCAATTCATATACTGAATATAAGAGTCTGTGTGTATGAGTGTGTCCTACAGTTACTTTACTGCATTAATAAATTGATCTCAACTGCTTTATAATTTGTTCGGGGTAGTAAAGCTTTGAGTGTTTTGGGGGTTTTATCTGTCGACTGTAAGAAAATATAGTCCTTGAAAAGATGTAAGCAGCTCTCTAGTGGCAAGATTTTCATCAAAAATGAATCAGCAGATCAGAAAATGATTGGAATATATGTTTAAAACCAAAATTATTCTTTAAACTTGGGGATTGGTGGGTTAATGGACAAAAAAGAACTGAACAACAAACGTGGTCCATAGGTGCTGCATCTGCCCCTGCCACTAGTTGCAGGATATTTTGTAGATAATTAAACTACTGCTTTGGTGTCAGGTTTTGTCTGATGGTGAAGAAAGGCTACAGGGACCCTCCATACCACAACTGGATGCACGCCTTCTCTGTCTCACACTTCTGCTACCTGCTCTACAAAAACCTAGGGCTGTCCAACTACCTCGAGTAAGTTTTTATAACACTCTGCTCCCAATGCTTTAAAAGTCCAGTGTTTAGAAGGATCTATTGGCAGAAATTAATAGGTATGTTTTCAGTAGTGTATAATCACCTGAAAAGAAGAATTTTACAATTACACGCTGGTCCTTACTAACCCTTAAAAATGTAAGAAATTGAATTGTTGCATTGTTTTTGTTACTGGAATTAACCCACAACTACCTAGAAAGGTCATTGTTTTTATCCTTAACCCTCGTCTTTCTTCCTACTTCTTATCTTTCCAGGGATATAGAGATTCTAGCTCTCTTTGTCTCCTGTATGTGCCATGACCTGGACCACCGTGGCACCAACAATTCTTTCCAAGTCGCCTCAGTAAGAGCACAAATCATGTCTATGTTTCTGCAAAAATGATACAAAGAAAGGGAGAAAGGGAAAAAGGGAAAATAAAAACATTAAACCTCCCGAACACGTAGAGTGCAGTCGAGCAGCACTGCACCTACACTTTAAAAATTGACTTTTAGATGTTCAGGATGGAGCACGTCAATAAGAGCCCGGCTTCGGGTGTGTTACAGTGAAATCTGTGATTGTGTCTCCTCATATGTGAATTTGCCCCAGTGAGACACTAGATGTCATTGTGATTAGAAGCATGTTGCTCTGCTGCACTCTAATCATACATAACCCTCCAGCACCTAAATGACACACACACCAACTGTCATTATGCAACAAAGGTCATCATTTCTTCAGCTTCTTTTATGTTTCTCTCCATTTGAAGATTCATATTCGAGCTGACAAGTATAGTTAAAGAGAAGACAGCTTGCTTTATCCAAGAATGTTGTGTCATTTGAATCAATATGATGTGTACACTAAAAGGATTGTGTTTCATTTGTCTGTCTGTTTTCTATTTTCAGCAATCTGTGCTGGCTGCTCTCTACAGCTCAGAGGGATCTGTGATGGAGGTAAATTCACACACCAGTAACATCACATCACAGAGATGTGGGAGAGCTGACAATGTTTCAAACAGCATGAGGGATTTGTGCCTATATGAATATTTATTGCTCTTACACTCGTGGTCGTTTTATTAGGTAGATCACAACAGTCTATTGCAATTCAATACAACAGTTCTGCCATAAATTCTACCATTTCAAAGCTTATAATGATCAGAATTTAATATGTTTATGACTGAGTTAATGGTGGTCTTGTACTGGATGACATTATACTGAGAGGTGTTTTAATTTTACTTGTCCCTTGTAGATTGAGACAGTATAATTCTTATTCTTATTCGTCTGTCCCTTTCTAGTTGATGAACTTCA